GAGAGAATAGTGCAACAATGAATGAGTGGAAGCCCAAAATCTCTGTAAATGTTTATGAAAATTAATAAAATATAATTATAGGGAAAAAAAAAACATAGCACAATGCCTGGCACACTACTCACAAGTAATAAAAATGTAATCATGTTTTCCTTAAACAAAGACAACTTCCATAAAGTGCCTCAAATTGCACAAAGTAGAATAATTTATTGACTTCTCCCTCTAGAGCCCTACATTGGGGCAATTATTGAAATTTATTGTTATTATTTAGTTGTTACGTATTTTCATGACCTTTACTAGAAATGTGGAAAGAGAAACATCACAGCATTTCAGGAATAGTAATTACAGGATTGGTATTGGTACCCCTTTTATTCAGTGGTGTTCAGAGGAACTGTGAACTTTGGCAAGAGGCCTCCTGAAATATTTGTATTTGGTAACTGACGTTGTGATAATTATCGAAGCATCACAAAAAGCAAGATCAAAGGGAAGTTACTCTGAGTTTCTTCCTTCTTTTGGTAAGTTCAAGTTTCATTCATCTTTGCATTAGTTGCTCTTAGCATCCTGTCTATACATAGTCAGTGATTAATAAATGTTTCTTGCAAAATAAAAAAAAAAATAAAATAAAAAGACAATGTCAGGATTCCATGCTCTTGTCTGGACTGACGTTGGACAACAAAAATGGGGGCAGGAATCAGCAATTGCTGGGAAGATCTCAGGAAATAAACTCGACAGCTAGAGAATGAACTTGACCTGAAACTAGTTTATTTTAGTAAAGTGTGTACCAGTTACAGTCACAACAGTGCCGGAGACGGAAGACGCAATAATTCTGATACAACACTGCTTTTAAATGGATCAAGCCAAGACAGACTGTTTGAAATGATGGGACTCGAGATTGAACAATGTTTGGCAATGCTTACTGAAGTAAATGATAAAATGGCAGAATATACCAACAGTGCAAGTGTCCCCTCCTTGAATGATGCACTGAAGCATACATTACAGCAACATAGAGACATATTGCCGGATTATACACATGAATTCCGTAAAACCAAAGCAAACTTTACAGAAATACAAGAAAGGGAGAATTTTAAGCGATCAGTAAGAAAGGATATTGAGTCACATAAAAGTGAGTCTGGGGTAAACAACAGAAGAACTGAATTGTTTTTGAAAGAACATGACCACCTTCGAAACTTGGATCAAAGATTGAAGAAACTAAGTATTGCTATGGCAACAAAAGAAAGTATGACTTCACAGAGAGGAATGTTGAAGTCAATTCAAAGCAAAATGAACACCCTGGACAGTTTGCTGTGAACAGCCTAATACAACGGATCAACCTTAGGAAGTGGCGGGACTCACTCATTCTAGGCGGTGTGATTGGCCTGTGTACCATCTTGTTGCTGCTGTATGCTTTCCATTGATGGCACACTTCCAGTACTCTTGGCAGCCACTGATTTTGTGCCCTGGTCTGGAATAAGCAAAATCTGGAGGGAGAAGTTGCCTGTCAGTCTGACTAGTAGTGTTCGTTCAAGACTGAGACTGATGGACCCTGACGTTGTCCAGCTAAGGTAAAGCCACAGTTTCCTAATAGTCTTTTCTAACACACATTTCCCCATTTTCAGTTTTAAGGGAAAAAAAAACTTTTCTCAGTTCCTTTCTATCTCTCCAGGAGATAAGTAAACCCATCAGGAGCCGTTTCTGTGCCTCCAGGATAATGTTGAATGAAAGTCTGATGGCATACTAGTCTTACAGCAAGGCTCTTCAGAAAACCAGGTTTCACTACATTCAAAGGATGCTTTTCTCTCAGCCACCAGCTTGAATTATAAATAAAAATAGTTCTTGTGGATTTTAGGTTCATGACAAGCAATCACTCAGTAGTTCTTGATAGACTGACTATACTGTAGATTTCTACTGTATGTCCACAGTTCTTTTGGTATTCAAGGAAAATTCTGTTCTTCATAAATTCTTAGAGATACTGACAAGCCAACTTAAGCATGGGGGGAGTTATAAGTCAATGGAAGGCAGACACTGCAAAAAAGCTTTTTTTTTTATCATGAGCATACACTGCAACTAATTGTACCATTCAGAAAACATCAAGAATGACAGACTTTTAGCAGGTCATTATTTTGATTTTTTGTTTGTTTAATTTCTGTCATTCATTTCCTGACAAAAATTAATAGCTGTTAAATCCGTAGATCACCACCCGAAAGACCACCAACTCATGTATGCAAACAGCAGAGTGCTTTATGTCGCACAACAAATTCCAGCATGTGGGGTACACCATTTGAAAGAAAATGGTGACCCCTAGGTGAGCATGTGTAGACCTTTTTATAGGTCCAATGGGGCTGTTCAACCAGGGTGAGGTAATTGGAAACATGATTGGTGGGGAAGGGGAACAGTTACATGTGGCAGTTTGTGACTGGCTCGTACCTAGGTAGACATCCCGCCTAGCTTTGCCCTTTCCTGTGTCATGTACACCCTTCTTGTCCTCTACAAGGACATTAGGCACAGATAGCTGACCTGAGACAAGAACCTTCCTGCTCTCCTGTGGTTGCTTTCTCTCCTGACTGGCTGTCTCCTGGGATAAGAATTTTGATGGCCTTCTTCTACTTCTGGAATGAATTACTTTTTAAAGGTTAGGCCCAGGTCAGGCTTGTGATGGAGGCCAGGCACAAAATGGAGTTTGTACAGTCCTCTCAATAGCCAGTGCCACTCAGTTCCCAAAACTATACGTTGTTGAATCAGGACTAACTGATGCTGAGCTGAGGAGACGCTGCAGTTTTCTGTGAAATCTGTTTCTAAAAGCCCCATGTGAAAACACATTGAGAAATCACCTTCATTGTCTGATATTGGGAGCTAAGAAGAATCGCACCCAGAGAAAACTTAGATGGGGGAATTGACTTTCTAGGTAACCTCATTTGTAAATGCTCCATAGCTTGTGATCAGAAGGTTAAGAATGACTGCTGGAGGTAATCAGGATTGCTGTGTTCTATGAAACCTATTCATTCCAAATCTGTGAAACTTCAGTACACCAAAGAATGATTTTACTGTGAAAGGCAGGCATAGCAGAATCTGTTTCCACCCACCAGCACCTCACTTCTATTGTCATCTCTGGACAGTGACACAATTTTTTAATGAGCTACCAGAATTCTCTTCAAGTTTAAGTTTTTAGAAGTTCATTGCCTCCCTTGTCTAAACCACCACAGACGTCTGCAGACTTTCACCACCTACCCTCATCACCAAGAAAGAAGACTGTTCTTCACAGTGGTGTTTATAGGCTTCAAACTGCCATAAGGAATAAGAGGACTTTTGCATGTAATTCTTCCCAACATAATGGTATGTGGATGGATTTGACACATAAGCTGATAGGTAAACTAACACCCAGCATGAGACAGAACTCACAGAGGGTGTTCCTTCTTGTGTCAACATTCTGGGCATGAAGGGTATTTATTATTTTTTAATTATGGGATTTCTTTTTCTAAATATGGGTTGATCAGTTAGTTAATTGGGGATCCCCTTAAAAGAAAGTTACATTTTCCCAATGTGAGCCTTACATGGTCAGGGAAGTATGTTCATTTATTATATTCTCTATTGAGAGAAAAAATTTCTTTCTGCTGATATGTTATTATCTTTGATTTTTTTTTCAAAGAGTCTTGACTAGGGGTTATGCCGTGGCTAGGATTTACTGGGCTTACATTGCTATATAGTCTAAAGTATCATAAATAAAGTTATTTATTTAATTATATTTTAAAAATAAAAAGATATGCCAACTAATTATAATATGGTTTCTTGAATGGAATCCTGGAGCAGAAAACAACATTAAGTAAAAACTGAAGAAACCTGAATAAACTACAGATGCTAATTAATGATGTATTAATTAATTTATTGACTGTAACAAGTGTATCATACTAACATGAGATGTTAATGAACAATGCTTTATCAATATTTATTCACCATGACAAATGCACCACACTGGCGTGAGATATTAACAGTGAAATTTTATGCAAGGCAGCATATGGGAGCACAGCACTATCTGCTTAGTTTCTCTATAAATATAAAATTATTCCAAAATTAACATTTATTAACTATTTTTAATGCACTATATTTCTGTATCAGGCAACAAAAGATGAAACATTTCAAAGATATAATTTAATATAGCAGCAAAAGATAGTAAGCACCTGAAAATACATCTATCAAAAGATGCACACAAGCTCTACTAAGAACATTGCAAAACACAGAGAGATACTGAAAAGATAAGGAAAGCTAACCCTTGAATTGACTGGAAGACCCTCCAGTGTAGGTCTATTCCTTGGAGAGGGGCAGCATGCTTGGAAAGATGCAGGGACAGTTAAGGAGAGGAAGACTCTCAACCAGGTGGATTGGTCCAGTGACTGCAGCAATAGCAATAGGCTCAAGTGTACAAAGATGGTGAGGATGGCAAAGGCTAGGACAGAGTTCAGATCTGTTGTGAATAGAGTCACTATAAGTAATACTTGAATCATGAACACCCAACAACAATAATATAATGTAGGGAACTCTGGTGACCCAGTAGTAAGGAGCTGCACTGTCAACCAAAAGCAGGCAGTTCGAATTCCCAGGTGCTCCACAGAACAAATAAATGAGCCATCTCCTCCTGTGTGCTCTACTGACTCTGAAAACTCACTGGAGCATCAGCTATGGGTAAGTTCCCACTCGAAGTATGTAACAATAATAATGTAAATGTGCCAATTCTCTCTACTCAATGCATTCCCAATCAAAATTCCAACTGTGAGATGTGAACAGTAATTCTAAAATTTATATGGCAAGAGTGCTAACTCTCTCTCCACATTTATTATCAGTTCAGTGAAATCTCAACAGGGAATTTGTGGAAAGTGATAAACTAATCCTAAGATTTATATGGGAATGCTGAAGGCCAAGACCAAGCAAAAACCTTGATGAAGAGCATGGTAGGAATATATGCATATACACAGTAAAATCTGGCAAAACCAGAACTTATGGAAACCTGTCAGAGAATGAAAATACAAATATTTTCCAGTATCAGAGAAAGACAGAGAAATGCCAAGACTGCAATCAATGGCAAGCACAAAATACTCCAGAGTCATGAAAAGACAGGAGTTCCACTCCCAAAGGCATCACTGCAGGGCTGTGCATCTATATGGAAAAATAACAAGGTCAAACCTGCATCATACCTCACTCTTACAAATAAAATTTATGAAGAAATGAAAATCTAAATGGAAAAGGCAAAACTAAACAGATTCTAGAAGAGGATATTAAGGGGGGGGAAATGTAATGTCATTGAGATAGGAAACATTTCTTAAACAAGGTTCAAAAAGTAATAACTGTACAAGTTTCAACAATTTACAAAGTGAAGTAAAGGATATTTATCAACAATATTTTAAGAAACTACTAAAATCTTTAAGAAAAAGACACAACTCAGGGAGGGAGAAATGTAAAGGCATGAATGTCAAATATCATAATGGAAAAGATACATATATAATGAATATATATATATATATCTACTGTTACACAAACATACAAATGAAGATTCTTACCATGATCCTTGAAATCAATTCTTGAACTCCATAAGTTCGGGCTTTTTCTACAAAATTTATCAGTTCCATCATCTCTTCTGTTGTTTCCGGGATTTTTAACGCATGTTCTCTAATTGCTTCAAAATCACTGCAAATACTGAAACAATACTCTGCTTTACATTGACTGTGGTAGATAATGTTTTATCACACTTGATGATGTTAGATACCAATGGGTCACAGTTAAAAATTGTACATTATTGTGAATATTACATGGGGAAATAGGGATAGCAATATCCTAAAAAATGGTTTATCTACTTGAGATGTTTTAAAATGATGTTGTTGTTGTTGTTGTTGTTGTTATGTGCCTTGCGACTCATAGCGACCCTATGTACAACAGCCCTAAACTCTGCTCTGTCCTGTGTCAATCACACTGTCTCCGATACACCCATCCCGATTACCCCAGTCACTGAATCAATCCACCTCATAGAGAGTCTTCCCCTCCTGCGCTGTCCCTTTACCCTCCCAAGCATGATGTTCCTCTCCAAAGACCAGTCCCTCATTACAACATGCCCAAAGTATGTCAGACAAAGCCTCAGAATACTTACCTCCAAGGAGCCGTGTGGTTTAACCCTTTCCGGGATGAATCTGTTTGTTTTCCTAGCAGTCCATGGTACTCTCAATACTCTTCTCCAGCACCACAGCTCAAAGGCATCAATTCTCCTTCTATCCTCCTTAGTCACTGTACAACTCTCTAACGCATAACAAGTGATAGCAAAGACCATGGCCTGTATCAGATGCACCTTAGTCTCCAGAGAGACACCATTGCTCTTCAGTACTTTGGAGAGGTCCCTAACAGCTGACTTTCCCATTGCAATACGTCTTTTAATTTCCTGGCTGCTGTTGCCAAGAGTTAAACTTACTTTATCTCATTCAGTAAACATCATATATCTACAAAATTCTGTAAAACTAATGTTCTATTTTACCATGAAATTGGGCATAAATGTTACCTCTAGTAAAAGATTTCATTTCCTTGAATAGCCAGAAAAGTGTGATATAAAGCATACTTTGGATAAAAAAAAAACAAACCTGAACCTGCTCAGTCTATTGTAACAAAAGGCACCCTCAGAGACTTTTTCATAAGAGTAGAACTCCCCGTAAGATTTCCATGGCTAAAAATTGTCTCTTCACTGCCCTCAGGGGAAGCACATTATGTCCACAGCCCCCACGCATCCCTGCCTGCAGCCCTGCAAGACAAGACCTTGCCAAAGCCTGTGGAGGAGTCTTCAAGCCTCTCCCTCCGTCCTCAGTCTCCCCAAGGCTCCCGGCTTTTCTATTTATTTCCCTGATGTGTTGTTTTTCTTGTACTTAAAGGAGATCCTCTCCAAGCTCTGCAGGCCACTGACTCATTTTCCTTGTTTACTAATGTCATTAGGGATTCTTTTCCCACCTTTGCCGGGCCCCACTTATCCACCCTATGACTGGATGGGTCATAGTGATGGTGAACAGTCCACTCTTACCCCAGTCACAACTAGCCTCTGGGATCTGCCAACTCGTTGACCCAGCGACTCCCAAGCCACCAGCCTGCTCCCCCAGGTGGCCCTTCTGTGTTCCCCACATCTGCAGGCTAGCTCCTCCACCTGTGGGGAAGATTGAGCAGTTTGGGGGAAGTCATCCTGCCACCTGACACACATACACTCTTAATACCAAGCAAAAGTTAGTGAAATATTAAAGCCAGGATCTTGGCACTTGAGTCTAACCCTGGTCCATAGGGCTACTGCACCTGTGGATTCTGGATTCCACAGACAAAATTCAAGCTCATTACTGTGTCACCATCAAGGCCCCTGAATGGCATTCTCAGTGCTTCTGTCTGATTTTGTGGTGTTGGCAAAGAGTTCTGACTATCCAGTGAACTGCCAAAAAAATCCCCCAAAGCCCAAATCTGTCCTGGAGGAAGTACAAACCAAGGTGGTTCTTGGAAACAAAGACAGTGACATTTTTGTTTCAGCTACTTTGGGTATGTTGTCAGGAGGCATCAGTACTTGGGGGAAAACATGATGCAGAAAAAGTATATGGTCAGTGAAAGAGATGAAGACTCAACAAGATGGACTGACACTGTGACTGCAACAATGGGATGGAGCCTGGTGGAGACTGAAGACAAGGCAGGGCAAGATTTCCATCTGTTGTTCAGGGGTTACTAGGAGTCAACGCCACACAGTACCTAACGACAAAAACATATCTTAGGGCCACACGCTTCTTCCTTTTGATGTTACCATCTTAAATGAGGAATTTCATTAAGAACAAATTATATAGCATGAATGTGGTAGAGGAAAGTGGACTTTCCAGCTACTCTGATATCATGCATTTATAATAAGATACTGTAGTAGAATTGTATTTTCAGTAAAAAAAGCAATAAACACTAAAAAAATAAACATTAAAAATCACATTAAAAACAAGGAGAGTTTTTATTAACTATGGTATTACCATTGCTCTCATTCAATAGGATCATTAGTCTCTCCACAAAAAAGGGGATATTATCTAATACTTCGTTCTCTTTGGTATCAGACTACTGTGCAAAGTATGTCTGATAAATACCTTCTGACAGTTATATATTTGTTTAGACATTTTTTAAATATTTAATGACATTATAGCCCCCAGAAAATTCAATGTCTTTTTAAGATGATCTTTGATTAACATTGAAAAGAATGGAAATCTCAGAACACTTAATTGTACTTATGTGAAAACTATTCCTAGACCAAAAGGTTGTTATCCAAACAGAGCAAGAGAACACTGAAATGGTTTAAAATCTGGAAATGTGCATGAGGGCTGTTGCCTTTCTCTATAGCTATTCAATCTGTATGTTGAGTAAATTTTCAAGAAGTTGGACTTTATGTCGAAGAATGAGGCATCAGGATCAGAGGAAGACTCATGAACAACCTGCATTATTCAAATGATACAACCTTGCTTGCTGAAAGTGGGGAGGACTTAAAGCACTTGCTGAATAAGATCAAAAACAGCCTGCACTACACATGACATCTCAACATCAAGAAGACAAAAATCCACATCACTGGATCAATAGGCAATATCAACAATTTCTTCTTACTTAATTAGCACCCTTAAGCACCAGCAGTTAAGAAATAAAAGATGTGTTGGATTGAGAAAATCTGCGTCAAGGACCTTTCCAAAATGCTGAATAGCAATTATGTCAGTTTAAAGATTAAGGTGCACTTGATCCAAGCCAGGGTCTTTTCCACTACTTGCTATGCATCTCAAAGTTGGACAATGAGTAAGAATGACAGAAGAATAACCAATGCCTTTTAAGATGTGGTGTTCGAGAAAAGACAAGTATGGTGAAGCTTTGTCTCAAATACTTTGGGCATATTTGTTAAGAGGGGCCAGTCATTGGAAAAAGACATCATGCTTGGAACACTAAAGGGTCAACCTTAGAGAGGAAGATTCTCAACAAAATGGATTGACACAGTGACTGTAACAATAGGCTAAATTATGTCAGAGATAAGGATGGCATAGGGTAGAACAGGGTTCATAGGGTCATGATGAGTCATAATCAAAGCACAAAGCACAACATATTACTTACTGGGTGTCTATTCTATACCATATGGAAGCAGGAGTGGCATCCACTTCCTAAACAGCATGCCTCTGGAAACTCTGTGAACTTTGATAAATGTGATGGTTGTGGAAGGGCTTCAGGCCTTTTGTTCAAAGGGTCGCTATGAGTCGTGCTTGACTGGACGGCAACCATCAATAACAACAACATTCTACACCAGACAAAGATTCTCATCACTGGGCCAACTGGCAGTATCAGTATGGATGGTGAAGCGATTGAGGTAGTTAACAGTTTTAGTTTACTTGGCTCCACAGTCAACACTCTTGGTAACAGCAGCCAGGAAATCAAGAGATGAATTGCATTGGGAAAGTCAGTTGTGAGGGACCTCTCAAGAGTACTGAAGAGCAACGACATAAGTCTGGAGACTAAGGTGCACCTGATCCAGGCTATAGTCTTCACAATTACGTGCTATGCATTGGAGAGTTGGACAGTGAGTAAGAATGATAGAAAGAGAATTGATGCCTTTGAGCTGTAGTGTTGGAGAAGACTGTTATTCAACATGGACTGCTAGAAGAACAAACAGGTTGGTCCTGGAGTGGGTGAAGCCAGAGTGCTCCTTGGAGTCAAGGATTCTGAAGCTTTGTCTGACATACTTTGGGCATGTTGCAAGGAGGGACTGGTCCTTGGAGAGAGACATGTTTGGGAGAATGGAGGGACAGCACAGAAGAGGAAGATCCTCGATGAGATGGATCAATTCTGTGATTGGAGTGATCGGAATGAGTGTGTTTGATATGGAGAGTTTGGCACAGGATAGAAAGGCGTTTAGGGCTCTTGTACATAGGGTCACTATAAGTCGCAAGCAACGCGATGGTATATAATAACCACAACAATCTTGAATTAGTCTTGAAAGGCAGCTACTGTTTTTCAGTTAGTATACCAGAAATTCAGAGTTTCAGAGAAATTAACTTGCTCAAAGTCATGAAACTAATTTTAAAAGCAAAGTCAGCGTTCTAATTAATATTTTTCAAATTTCAGAGTATATTTTTTTATCAAATTGCTTTGGGGAAAATAAACCTAGTAACTATATTTAGGGAATATAGTGTTCTTGGCATTGTGCTAGAAGACACATATGTGTATATATCTATGAAACTAGTCTTAATCCTTATGGAAGTTACAGATTGCTTACTTTAGAAGGTCAGACAGATAACAAATAAGTTAAATGTGTTGAATGATAAGTTGTTTGAACATTTGGATGACATTTTGTCTAAAGATAAAAGCTGCTATTCATCTCCATTTATTGATACAGGTTCAACATGATATGATTTTCCTTTTTTAAATAAAAAAGAAAATTAATAAATCTTGACGTGTATGTATTGAATCTCCTAGCTTTGTAATCTTGACAAAATTTTCCAAAATTTGTTTAGTCAAAACTTAATCAAGGGAGCTCTGGTAGACTAGTGGCAAGAATTTAAACTGCAATCCCAGAGGTAAGTGGTTTGAATCCACCAGATGCTCTGCTGGAAAAGGAGGGGCAATCTCCTCCTGTACCAGTCAGATCTGATTTGACGGTACACACACACACACACACAATGTAAAAGAAAAAAACTTAATCAGTGTGAGACAAGTTAAAAGAGTTGTATAATACATTCCAGGGCAACCACCAACATATGGATCCAATTTTCTAGTTGCCCTGTGAAGAAGGCATTATTCTCCAATTTACAGATAATAAAAAGAAACACATAATAAGTAAATATTAGAATCAGAATCTTCCCAATATCACAGAAAAATCTATGTCCCTTCCATTAGCACACAAGAACTGGTTTAACTCTGGTTTCTTTTTTTTGTTATTGTTGTGACATCTTTGTCTTCCTTAAAGCTAATTCTCAAATTGTTGCTGTTGTGTCCTGTCAAGTCAGAACTGACCCAGATCTACCTCTCCAGTGGGTTTCCAGAGGCGGTAAATCGCACAGGAGATTGTCCTTCTCTCTCCTGTAAAGCAGCTGGTGGATTCAAAGCGCATACCTGTGAATTAGCAGTGCAATTCCTTACCACTATGCCACCAGAGCTCCCTGCTGACTTTGTAAGCAAAATCTCAAATAGTATAAACTAATAGTGTAAGCAAAATAAGCCAGACACAAAAGGACAATTACTGTATGCACATCCATGGGGTTTTTTTTAAAAAAGCAAACCAATAATATATTTTTTGGTTGTTGCTATGGCTGGGTAATGAGGGTAACAGGAGGGGAGATTAATAACTAGATAATGTACATGTACTAGGCTGGGAAAAGGGTAAAAAGTATGTCTGTATATATGTACGTACATATTTAATTAAGCTTATAATTCTGAGTTAGTTACTTACCATTCATTTTCTTTTCTGTGTTTTGAAGCTATGTCATTTAAAAGTGAATTTGCAAGAGATTTTGCTTTCTTTACCAGACCCGTCTTTAGATCATCACAATCCAAACGCACCATGGGGAAATGAATCCACTGTGGCAAAAGCATCATTTCTGAGGCAAGACTTAAAAATGATCCTACAAACTTTAAGAAACAAAACATTTAAATATTTAAAATTTTTAAATATATGAGTGACATAAGAGGAAAATACATAGCATTTCCTAATTCATCAGTGATTTTATACTACTTTCCTATAATTTACATTCTTAGTCATCTAATACAAATATGCAAAGTTGGGATTTTCTTGTTAAGTAACTAAATTCTCCCTTTTGTTACTTCGTATGTGTTGCTATGAGTTGTCAAGTTGGAATCAATTCATAGCTGACCCTCTAGTGGGTTTTCAGAGGTTATAAAGTATAGAGGAGAAGATTGCCCATCTTTTTCCTCCAGAGCAACCAGTGGATTCAAACTGCATGCCTCTGGATTAAATCTCCTTTGCCCCACCTTATCTTTTCACTAACAATTGGTCTTTGATGTCATCTCACAACTCATTAATGTCCAACTCACTGTCATTATTCTTAAGGTTGTTTGTTGTTTGTTTTTTTTTAATTCAGGTAGGGTAAGCTCAGAGTCATATTTCAGCTCTCCTGGACTTGTTTTCATTTTCTTTAGCTTCAGTTTGTACTTGCATACGCGTTCCACAGTCTTCTGGTCTTGTTCTGACCACTGATATTGAGCTTTTCCACCATCTATTTCCACAGATAAATTTATTTTCTGTGTACTCCATCAGCAAGGTCCTTGTTTATAGTCATCATTTGTAGGGGTTTGGTTTTTTTTT